CTCCTCCTCCTCCTCCTCCTCCTCCTCGGCTAGAGACGCAGCAGCGACAATCACAGACCTGCTGCCCCCCTCACGCGTCGCCCGCAATCTCGAGCTGCACCTCGCTGCCGAATCGGGCGACCTCACACTCGTCCAATCGCTGCTCTCCTCGTCTCCCACTCCCGGCGACTCGGACGACTCGGGCGGAGTGGACGTATGGTACGAGGACCCGTCGAGCTCCAACTGGTCAGCCCTGCATTTCGCTGCCGAACAAGGCCATGCTGAGGTGGTCAAGCTGCTGCTGCGCCACGGTGCACTGTGGAATGCCGTCGATGCCAACGGTGTCACGGCGGCCCAGGTGGCGTGGAGCATGAACCACGAACGCTGCTACCGGCTTATATTCGAGGAAGGTGTCAGGCAGACGTTTTTGCTCAGCGCACTGGGCGCGCAGGATGAGGAGCAAGATGAAGAGCCCGAGGCAAAGCGCGCACGAACAGAAGGTACAGCCGTGACAAGTGCAGACGGCACCACGATCACGCTCAAGCCGTCTGCCAACGACGTGGCCAACGATACAGCCAAGTACCTCTCCACCCGGCTGCGCTTCGTTCCGGACCCTCTGGGGCAGGTCCGATGTCTGGACCAGGACGACAACATGGTCATGGCGCCGTGGGAGACCGATATCATGTCGCTCTCCGCTTCCCTGCTGTGTGACAATCAGCCTTCGGGATTCTCGGTTCTCAACGTCGGATTTGGCCTAGGCATCATCGATACCCTCCTGCAGAAGTACTGTCCGGGGCGGCATGTGATTATCGAGGCGCATCCGGACGCGATCGCGTATGCCAAGCAGCTCGGCTTCGACCGCATGCCGGGCGTGGAGCTCTTCGAGGGCAGGTGGGAGGACTGGATCAAAGACTCGGATGCCGACGAGGATATCGCCAAGATGGCCCAACTCGGCTCGTTCGACGCCGTGTATTGGGACACGTACAGCCAGGACTACAAAGACATCAAGCGGTTCTTTGACGCCCTGCCGAACCTCCTCAACGGTCCCCAGAGCAGGTTCTCGTTTTGTAAGTCCCCTAATCCTCCTCCTTTTCTTCAGTGCAAGATTCGAACTGACACGCGGGCGTTTGCATAGTCCATGGATTGGGTGCGACCAACCAGTTCTTCTACGACGTCTACACGCGCATTTCCGAGCTGGACCTGCGCGAGATCGGGCTTACGACGCAGTGGCACACCATGGCCCCCTCGATCCGCGAGGAGGAATGGGCGGGCGTCAAACAGCGCTACTGGCAGTTGGCGCAGTACTACTGTCCAATCGCCCAGCTCGATGTGTGGGATTGAGTCGTTCCTCGGCTTGCCAGAAATACACCAATGCCACCGCGCGACGCTCTTGATCGCAACCGGCTTTGCTGTCGGGCGAGGGTTGTCGGAGCAACTAGTCGTCGGCTTGGGAGAAATACATGACTTCGACACCGACGCTCTTGACAATGCCCACTTTCCCACCAGGGTTAAGATTGAGGGTAGCCGAGGGCGAGAGGTCTGCCTTGACGCCGAGCGAGACGAGGCAGTGCGACAGACGGCCCTGCCAGAGCAGGCGGATGTCGGAGGCAGTCGAGATGCGCGCCTTCAACACGCCCGTGATTGGCGATAGCAGCGTCGAGAGTGAAGCAGGCACTCCAGCAGGGGCAACGAGGCTGGATGCGGTAGAAGGTGGTGGAGGAGGCAGTGAACTTTCGGTGGGGTGGAGGTGATCGCGTAGAGACATTGACTTGGATACCGATTCCTCCGCTCGTGGCATTGTTGCGGTTGGCGAGGGGGGTTTGGCCGCTCGCAACCAGTACTCTGCCCCCACGGTCCATTCAGACTCGTAGCTGTAGACATTAAAGTCAAAGCGCGAGCACACCACCACGTCCCTCGCCATCCTTGCCGCGTACGCCGTACTCAGATGACCCATCATCGGATTAAGCGTGGCGGTTATCACCGTCGGCGGTTGCGACGGCACCGCATCCGGTGCGATCACCGGCGAATCTGGCAACGTCGAAAAGCGAATGCCCGTCGATAGGCCCGCCGACTTTTCCACCGTACTGACAAACACCTCGGCGCCCGCACTGAACCTCCCCCTCAAGCCTCCACCTGCATCCGCATCACCTTCCGTCTGCCCTGTGGTGGAATCGATCCGACCCGACGACGAAGCAACGGCCTCGGTGGAAGAGGAGGGGTTGGGCTCGACGGCGTCGCTCGGGCCAAAGTTGTGCAGCACGCGGAATCCCCACAGCGCATCGTCGACCGAGTAGCTGTATTCGGTGAACCACCGTCCTGTATCGCGCTGCAACGTCAGCTGGAGGTTCGTCGATCCCGCCGGTCCCAGATCGCTCGCCGCTACGGGTTGCTGTGTGGCCGTGGAGCTGCTGATCGTCGAGGACGAGAGTGTGCCCGATGCATCGAGTCGATCCACACTACCCGCCATGCCTGATTTGGATCCCGAAGCGTATGCCGACTGCGTAGCCAGGGCCGCACTATGCAGCGCATTAATCGGATACTTTGGCGGGGTTGACACTGCCGTCAGAATCAACTGCCACGTCGGGCTGAGGCGCTTGGTCCACAGCGCATCCAATCGCGCACTGGGTACGTGCATGCATCCGTACACCAGATACTCTGCACTACCATCCTGTGTTGGCGATGGCTCGGCATGCCTCTCTCCCGCGAGCCAGTAGTACTCCTGATCCGCCTGCGGAGGCAATTTCCGCGGAGCCTCGACGATGCGGAATCGTTCAATCACCTCTTTAAGCTTGACATCTTTCGACGACTTGCCAAAGTCGATCGGCGCATGCGTGCTGGCATAGATATACCCGATCCCCGCTCGCAGATTCGGCAGCGCCCCAAGACGGTACGTCGTAAAGAACGGCGGCGTGGGCGAGGCGGATATGGACAGCGTGAGACCCGTCGGGATGGGGAAATCGAGGATGGAGGCAGAGGACGAGGTGAGATGCAGGTACGAGTTGTACTCGTTCCACGCCGTCGCTTCAAAGTAGCGCCGCAGCACGTGCGAGACAAAGTCGTGCATCCCTGCGCATGCTCCTGCTGCCCACGCCTGGCGAAGCTGCAAGGAAAAGGGGGGGGGGGGGAAGGCCCAGAGGAGATGGTGGCAGAGACGGAAGGTGGTCCAAGCGGAGACCCTTGAATTTCACCTTCCTTTTTCGTGCTCGCCTTTTCGCAACATCATTTTGTTTTTCGGCGCCACTCTTTCGAAGTTCCTCACGTTGCACAGTCACACACCCTTCACATTCTCTTTCAAGCAGCAATGCAATCTCGTACGATGGCAAGGATGATATCGACTCCAGTGTGAAACGACTACGACGTTGGAGGAACGCTGTTGGCGAGGGCGTTCATGCTACCAAACGGATCGCGCACGCTGTTGTTGACCTGCTTGTACCACTTTGCATAGTCCTTCTTGAGCGCATCCACCTCTGCATGCAGTGCGGCGACCTGTGCGGCCAAGGCCATGAAGCTTTCATGCTGAGCATGAATGGCATCCGAGATAGCCTGGGGCGTGTAAGTCTCGCGCGACGAGAGCGACTGCAGATGGTGCTGGATCGTCTCTACCGTGCTCGAGTATCGCACAATCCTCTCGCGGTACTCTTGCGCCAGCTGGGCGAAGAAGCGCTCGAGCCACTCTACGAACGATGCGCCGTCGGAAAGCGCCGTGCTGCGCGGCTCCTTGGCATTGATAATGATGGTGTAGAGCGTCGAGGTGGTGTTGCGGTCGCGCTCCAGCAGCTGTGCGACATCCTGCGACTGCTTCTCGTCCGTATCGAGCGTGGCAGAGAGCGACTTGAGCGCCGAATCGAGCTCGTGCCACTCGGCGGCGCACTTGCGGATCTCGTCGCCAAAGCTCTTCGTCTTCAGCTCGTCGCGCAGCTGCGTCTGCGCCGAAATGTGCGCCTCGAGCTCTTCCACCAGCTTCCGTGCGTCGTCGGGCAGATCGTTGAAGCGCTCCTTCTGAAAGTACCCGAAATGCGAAAACGGCGATGCGCCAGCCTGATTCTGAGGCTGTATTTGGAAACCCAATCCACCCTGCTGCGCTTGCTGCTGCTGCTGTTGTTGCTGCGGTTGTGCAGAGCCACCAAACGAGAATAGAGATGTCGAGGGCTGCTGCTGCTGTTGTTGTGCTGGCTGCGTGTTTGTCGAACCAAATAGGCCACCGGTGGATGTCGATGTGGTATTGTTGGTGGCCGAGTTGCCGAACGAGAAGCCGCCAGCAGCAGGAGCAGCAGGCTTGCCAAACAGCCCTCCGGAAGAGGTCGAAGCAGAGTTGGAACCAAACAATCCGCCGCCGAATCCGGTCTGCTGCTGCTGCTGTTGTTGTTGTTG